ATTTTCAACCATTCACTAACATTTAGGAAGACGTAACGTATAGCCAGTCGAACTTAGAGGTCGTAATAAAATACTTATCAAATTAAGAAAATGAACTCCGACCCTAATAAACAGTCCTGCCATTTAGCGCAATCAGAGTATTTCAGTTCATACCGTTGTTAATCAAGRTAGGTGAAGCATTGATGATACTTAGCTAGCATATAGGTAATATGCATATTGACCAACTTAACTATGACCGAGCTAGGAAAACTGAACTTGAAGGTRCATAATGGATGCCGAGATTTTGCACGCACTTAAAATATCGAAAGAATTTGACTATTTTTCTATTAACGTGGCCTAAAATSGGCTGAAAGCATCCATTATTAAGAAACAACGAAGCACAAATCGTCGACAGTATWTCGAAACTTCTGAGATTCCCTGAATACGCTGAATACATGAGCTTTACAGTGATRACAAAGTCTATGCTTAATAAGAGGCTGAATTTATGAATTCCTCRCGATTGTCAGTCCACTAATGAGAAAAGTGAATAAAACGGAATGGTTCGTACCGAAGTACCGCGCAACTCGTTAAGACATTAAAASCTATCACTTGCTTAGATATSCATGGGACTGCACCATTCCCGAACAGATGATTCGTGTAAAAYATTTCWATGTTTCTTAGTTTACAAAGGCCTCGGAAACCTATTAAGTGTAGCACTCGACAATATTTGCTTTTCAAAAGTGAATTTAATGTTAGGGCGTTGAAAAGAATGTAGCGTGATGTCTGTGATCATACATAGCGGGCATAGCGAGAGAAATCAAAACCTTAGGTCCTTCATGTTATTGAATGAAGATTGTTCATGATCATCAGATAACCAAATACTTGTATAGTACGAGTGCCAGAGGCCCACGTCGCATACTGTTAACCTTGGACTCGGATTCAGACTCAACTCAGACTCGGACTCGAACCCAAACGTTTACTGCTCGTAAATATCGATACACCTACTTGCAAAAACGTTGTCATAGAAAATAGAACATTTGAATTTAGTAAAAAGGAATAAATTAAAAYAAGACAAAAGAGAGCGTTCAGCCTCAGTGATCTTCTTTTGTCTTTTTTAATTTATTCCTTTTTACTAAATACAAATGTCCTATTTTCTATGACAACGTTTTCGCAAGTAGGTGTATTTTAGAGTCTCATGATTTTCAAATCTATTTTGAGTATTTTGTACATAAATTTTTAAAAAATATACAAAGATAAAATTTATAAATAAGGTCACCCACTTGAGTATCATCCGAGTTTAACAGTATTTGTTTTGAATCAATTCAATCAATAGGCACTTTGTAGCTTGGGGTCACGTGACCGCACCTATACCTTAAATTAAAATCAGCAATGATAAAATGATGTTCAGAAATGGAAAGAGGGGATCAAAATAAGTAAGAAGACAAAGTTTCAAGTCTCAAACATTTAAAAATTTCAAAATTGCWAGCAAATATTAAATCAWTTTTTTCTAAAGAAACATATSCAAAACCAGAACTATTTTCCCATGCGTTTCTTTAGAAAAATCAATKTTCTACATTTGCTGTCATTTTTGAAGTATTTAGAGTTGAGACTTGAGACTGTGCAATTTCACCAACATAAACAGTAGTAATGCTCGTTAGAGTGGCTGGCCGGAGGTGAAATGTCTGTAGTTGGGCGGTGATGCAGTTCGGCGGGTACACATGAAAACGAGAAAGCCCGGAAGCAGAAAGGGGGCGTTGGAGACAGGGGAAGGGTGGTTTTAAAAAACGAGGGGAGGAGAGGGGTGGGTTTTTTTTAAAGAAAAAGGAGGGGAGGAGAGGGAAGGTCGATTTACAAGAAAAAAATCATCTCTGCAGTTGGGATCGAACCAACGTCCAAGGGATCCCCGTACAGTCCCACGCTCTGCCTACTGAGTTATACAGAGATTCTATACAGAGGGTTCTTTATTTTATGACTATAACGGTGTCGCATCATCTCCTGGTACACCTGACCGTATTTTACAACGTCAATGTCTTCCTTGAGTCGAGATCGGATACTTTCCCACCGCATGGTCACGCGCAMCACTTTTTGCTTGATGAGTTCAAATTTTTTCTCAAAAAGCCCTTTGCAACTGTAACCCATGAGGTCGCCTTTRGATGTGTGAACRGAAAGTAACACGTGCTCYATSGACTCGTACTGGTGAGGCAAGATGCATCYAGAAAGAATGGGATTTGATCCGTCGACCAGTTTTTTCCCTTTTTTATGGAGTGTCAGCCYTTTGGTCATGCGAGAGGGGTAGAGTTCCGCGTCTCTGAGGTCCTGATCGATGTCGTTTATCATGTCCCTCATATCCTCCGTGATGTTTTTGGCTTCTTTATGACGACCATAAAACGTGACATGACCCATCTTGGTCAAAAACTCGGCGACCAACTTCTCGATTTCTCTAAAGAAAAAATAATTAGATTTGAGTCTCATAAAAAATAAAAAACAAAAAAATCAGATTAGATTTAATTAAAAAATAATTAAAAAACAAATTGCATATCATCAAGTTAGTGAAATTGATATTAAGGATATAAAATCCCTAACATCAAGTTCACTTACGTGATAATATTCAAGCAACTTTTTTGTCTTCTTCTTCTTTTTGCTCACGCRCAACGCCCTTACTCCAATTCCTGGCTTTCGGCACCAAACACCTCGTCATTATCCCAATGGACTCTTAAGGGACCCGGACCGCACAGCACTCGAGGTAGCGTGTTCGTGACCACCTTTTTAGAAATTTTGAGACTAATCTCCTCTTCCAAGGCGGGACCTGGTTTGGGTAAAATAGGCTTGTAGGTCGTCGTCGTTCTTTCAATAGTCACGGGTCCGCTGTGAACGATTCTAGCATGAGGACATAGCGGAGTGATGGTAAACTTTTGAGCCATGGTAGTTGTCTTTTTCGAGAAACACAACTCGACACTCGACTTTTATCCTACTCCGTTATGCAAATCCCCTTTCGAAACCAAATGCAATTTTTTTGCTGTTTTACCTCGAGAGGGGAAAACCCTTAAAACTTGTGGTTTTAAAAATAACAACACTATTTTAATATCCTCAATATATCTTTATTTTCAAAAACGGCTTTTTATTTACATTTTAAGGATATACAAAGAGATCTTTCAGGCACTCGTGAAGCCTGTGGTACAACGTGCTGTGTACTTTGTCTGTCAATACGACATAAGCACCGAAAAATGGTACGGGGNTGGAAAACTAAAATCGACTTTTATCCTACTCCGTTATGCAAATCCCCTTTCGAAACCAAATGCAATTTTTTTGCTGTTTTACCTCGAGAGGGGAAAACCCTTAAAACTTGTGGTTTTAAAAATAACAACACTATTTTAATATCCTCAATATATCTTTATTTTCAAAAACGGCTTTTTATTTACATTTTAAGGATATACAAAGAGATCTTTCAGGCACTCGTGAAGCCTGTGGTACAACGTGCTGTGTACTTTGTCTGTCAATACGACATAAGCACCGAAAAATGGTACGGGGATGCTGTTTCTCATCGACTTCAAATACCGAGACCAGATCTGACAAGTACTCCAAGATTTCTTCGTAACTGCCGACATATGCTTGTCCCTCCTTTACCGGTTTGGACTTTAAAAGCTGATTCTTGTTCAATTCCAATGTGTTGAACTCCTGCACGTCCAACTCGTATTTGTCAAGCATCGGATGGACCTCATTTTTGTCTGCTTGGGCTTGATATTTCTTCACTACGTCCCATCTTTTATTCAGCCTCTTGGGTATGGCTTCCTTCTCCTTGTAGTCTTTGTCGATTTCATCCAGCATGTAACGGTAGTCCGTCAGTATTCCAAAAATATTCTCTACCTTAGGGTGACTTTCATAAGACTCTCGATCACACGAACGTCCTTCCGCTTCTTTAAACAACAAGTCTACCACATCGCTGCTGGCCTCCTCGATTTGTCTATAATAAAACACATGATACAAAGACTTTGTACAACATTAAAAGTAAACCTACTCTACGACTTCGAATTCGTGTCCCAATATTCTATCCCCACTGTAGATTTCGTACAAAGGTCCTCGCTCCTGTTTTGGTCTATGAGGTCACTTGTCTTCCATCTTCTAATTTTTTGAAAAAATGTGATCCGTTCTGCTCACTCGAGCACTTTTTATTTTCTTTTTGGTTTTTTACCCACCCCTCCCCTGTCTCCAACGCCCCCTTTCTGCTTCCGGGCTTTCTCGTTTTCATGTGTACCCGCCGAACTGCATCACCGCCCAACTACAGACATTTCACCTCCCCAGCCACTCTAACGAGCATTACTACTAACCTGCTCATTTCTGAATGCTGATTGATTTAACACGTGACCCCCAGCTGCAAAGGGCCTATTAACATCATTAAAATTGCCTGTCTTCTCCTGYGTTCAAACGCATTATAATAATTACTTTGTTTATGGTTTCAGCGATCAAATAAATTCATGATGTTCATAGAGTTGGTAGTTGTAATCATTGGTGCTATTGTTCTACATCATCTCATAATCCGATTTTCAGAAGATGCCAACTTGCCCCCAGGGCCCAGGCCGTTACCGTTACTGGGTAACCTGTTTGACGTSATAAGTTCTATGCCTTATGTTCACGAGGCGTTGTGTAAGTTACAAAAGGTGTATGGAGACGTCTTTACGCTCTACCTACAGGGCAAGAGAATCATCGTGATCAGCTCTGCGTCGACCGCACGAGAAGCACTTCTGGCCAGAAAGAACGACTTTGCAGGCAGGCCATATGTGTTCGGAGGTGATTATGTCACAAGAAAAAGCAAAGATATTGTCTTTAGTGATTACTCTCAGAGGCTGAAACTTATGCGAAAGGTAGGAGTCAAAGCCATGCGAGAATTCCTCCCACAAGCCGAAAGAAATATCAAAGTTGAGTTACAGGATCTGATATCACGAATGAAGGAAAATGAAACCAGCGATGTTGACCTTAAAAACGACATACAACTGTCAGTCATGAATGTTGTCTGTGCCTTGATCTTYGGTCAGCGGTATGATATTAAGGACCCAGAGTTCGTAAACTGTGTGTATTTTACAGATACAGCGTGTAAGTTTGCAGAAAGCACTGGGATCCTGGGCATGTTTCCTTGGCTGATCCACTTTCCCATAAAACCCTCCAACGAAATTAAAAAATGCTGCAGAATCAAAGACGAAATAYTAAACCGGAAGTACCGACAGCACTTGCAAACCTACAATGCCAGCGTTACACGTGACATTACCGACTCCCTAATAAAGGYCARACTTGAAGAAGAAAAATCAGACGTTAACAAAACTGACGTCATTGATGAGGATAATGTGACCATGACCATGCAAGATATGTTTATTGCAGGCAACGAGACRAGTACAACAACAATCCTTTGGGCGTTGGTCCACCTCATGGCACACCCTGATGTACAGGCGAAGGCACACGCCCAGATTGATGACATCATCGGACACGATCGACTACCCGAACTTAGTGACAGAGAAMGTCTTCCATTCGTCGAGGCGATCATCGCAGAAACATCGCGGCTGTCATCCGTTGTGCCGTTATCAATTCCTCACAAGACTACGGCGGATACTAGTCTTAAAAATTACACCGTACCTCGTGAAACAACAGTTCTGCTGAACTTGTGGGCAATCCACCACGACCAAAGGGACTGGGATGAACCTATGGAATTCAAACCTGAAAGATTTCTTGATGTCGATGGGAASATGAAAGAGTTGTCTAAACTCAGCTACTTGCCGTTCAGTACAGGTCTTAGGAGCTGCATGGGAGAAGCGTTAGCTAAGCAGATGATGTTTCTTCTGCTAACGGGGATGTTACAAGAGTTTGAGTTCGTTAGTCCGACGGGTGCTGCCATTAAACACATCAAGGGAATGGATGGCATAGTTAGGAACCCTGAAAACTTTAAAGTATGCCTTAAAAGAAGAGTTAAACCAGCTTAAAAGAAAACAGTGAAGCTTCATAGAACATTGCAATCCAGTTATCATTAGCTTGCTGKTTTATGAATAGTTCAGACTTTGTAAACACTGCGCACACAACTACACTTGATTTAAGGATGTTCTCATTTAAAGCATAGTTATTATTCACCATGACTAAATCAAACACTCACTCTAAAAGCACACTAAGCAACAAAATGTCTAAAGCTTCGGCGATGCTATTGATGTAACCCAACGTAAATCATTGATTATGTGGAGTCATAGATTCATATTTCGATCAATCGCGTACATCATGGTCGTGAGCCGGAGGGGAAGTCATGTCTTCCATTTATTGCAGTTTATTTGACAGTATYATTGAGCACTAGCTATTTCATTAAACATAATGCACTTGTTTCGAATTTAAACAGAAAAGTAGTCATAATTATTAGACAAACAAGAATATTTTCAATGAATTCCAGGACCCTCAAAAAATTCCATGATTTTCAGGCCTGGAAAACTAAAATACAATATTCCATAACTTCTTGGCTCGGCTRGGTGTAGGGACCAAAATTGTGATTATTTGGGGTTCAAGGATCTAATTTCTATCCCTAGAATCATGGTCACTGGTCAATGAGTGTGTATTGGTGAATCAGTTGCAAAACAAATGTTTTTCCTAATTGGAGCAAGTTGAAGCAAGACGACTGTTAAAMTTGTAATGATGGCTAMCTTCTTTCATGCCTACAGACAAGTATTCGAAGCTGTCTATCACTGCATACTCAACAGTTGTCTCGTTTTGATGTAAAGGCACAGCTACTTTTCAAGATATCATAGGGAACTATGTGAAGACAAATGATTTTTTTTAAAAGTGATACATTTCTTTATTGCCTTACTTGTTTGGTCTTTTCCAGGTTTTCTTGAGGTAAAGATATGTAACTATAGTGACGTATACCACCAAGGTGTGATAGTAGATGACGTGTTGTTATGGTAACAGGTTTCCCATTGAAATACTTCAGTGGAAATGCTGGTACATACTGCTGCACTGGTGCATCAACATCTAGTTTCTTTTCTTCATATAATTTAGCTGAGTAAATAAATAAACATGTATTACAGTATAAGTCAGAGTACTTACTAACCTAAAAGCATGCTGCAAGATTTGGACAACATCATGCTCTATTAAACCTAGAACCGTTGATGAGTAATGACAGAATTATAATTTCAAATGGATTGTAAATTAATTGGAAGATTTTGATGATAAATGAAAATCATTAACTTGACAATGGTGACAAGATTTCTGTGTCTCTCCTGGACACCAGAATATCAAATTAACATTGATTRTTCCCATTAATAGATTACACATGTCTTATTGCTACTTGTTAACGAATTAGAACACTGACAATGTAAGCATTTTACTGTATTGTTTATCATTGTTTCTAGTTTTCATGGTTTCAGAGTGACTAACACCAGTTTCGTTAAGTCAAGAACTTCAATCTTGGAATGCAGTGTACAGTATTCTTCACTATACATCACAGCAGCCATCTTGGAGGAACTTTAACAAAGGATTTCTCATGAGTWTCTATTGTTCATTCCTCCAACATGCCTGCCGACTTTTTATCTTTTGAATACGATCAGTTCAACACTGGTCACACTGTCTGAAATTAGCTAGTCATAAACATTTTCCATTGAATGCAGAAATGTCCCCTCCATAAATCTGAGTGACTTACCAACAGCAAGGGCAGTCAAAGGCTTACTAATACTAGCAATTCTCATAACAGAATCTGGAATACAGCGAACGTGGTTCTCAACATCAGCAAAACCAAACCCTTCACTCCAAACCRTCTGCCCATCCACACTGACAGCTACAGCAAGACCAGGAGTCCCAGTTTCTTCCTTTACTTGCTGCAAATAATCATGAGCTTCTCTAATCGCAGATTTTAATGTTGAAGTGTTTTGTTGCTGTGTCTAATACTGTAGTTAAAGATCTAACATGTATGGCTAATTATTTGATTTTAAAATATATATTAGTTTTATCATTATATAATACATTATTAATATAATGGATATTCAAATATTAATAAAGGCATTTTTTCAGTCATAATATAGAGGTCGTTATGGACCTATCAATGTCTTGCCCCAATGGTGGCAGCCTGGGCATACCCAGGGGCTATATACATTTTTGGAAAACAAATGTCAGTGAGCCCCTCTCAAATTCTATATCAAATGACAATAACGATTTAATGTAAAGTACACCAGGACTGGGTTGCTCAAAGCTCGATGAAAGCTGAGCCTGGTTTAACTCTTCAAAAACTATGGAGTTAATCCTAGATTAATGCATGTTTAACAAACTTTTCTGCAGTTGTAAGTGAATGAAATAACATTCTAAAATGCTTAGTCTCTGATCAAATTGTCAATAAG